TGACTCACTGAAGCAGCAGCTCCAGCAGTCCTTAAAAGTATTGCTTTAGCCGGGCGGTGGTGGCGCACGCCTTTAATCCCAGCCCTCGGGAGGCAGAGGCAGGCGGATCTCTGTGAGTTCGAGACCAGCCTGGTCTACAAGAGCTAGTTCCAGGACAGGCTCCAAAACCACAGAGAAACCCTGTCTCGAAAAACCAAAAAAAAAAAAAAAAAAGTATTGCTTTAGCTGGGCGGTGGTGACGCACGCCTTTAATCCCAGCACTGGGGAGGCAGAGAGGCAAGAGGATCTCTGCGAGTTGAGGCCAGCCTGGTCTACAGAGCAAGAGTTTCAGGACAGCCAAGGCTACACAGATAAACCCTGGCAAAAAAAAAAAAAAAAAAAAAAAAAGCTCTGAGGTTTGTCACCCTGTGATGTCCACCCACCCTTGGTCTTCCATTTATCCCCAACAGTAAGACAAGGACAGTTTCAGTTTCGAGTTCTCCCATTTCTCAGCTCTATTCCTCAAAGTCCTGCTTTTCAACCTGGTCACGCAGCCTAAGGTACTCTTATCTTTAACCCCAACCCTCTTAAAAATTGGTTTCTGCCTCAAATCCCATTGGTTATTATTTTACAGGTGTCTCCAGAGCCAACCAATGACAAAATGAAGCATTTGAACCTTGTCTGTCTTCCCTAAATAATACAGCTTATCTCGAAAAGCCTTCCAGAATATGTGCATAGACTCTAAGCAAACGCCACTGTACACGAGATCTGGGCATCCTCGGATTCCAAGGACTGACTGCTATCAAGTAAAGAAGGGTCTTTGTTCCCTGTCAAAATAACAAGACAGAAAAACAAGAAACACACGAGGTTCAAAGCCAAATCCAGATTTCTCTGACACACCATAAGGCAAAGGAGCAGCCCAAGAATTTATGGGTCACATCTCTAGACACCATACAGCAGATTGCTCCATATCCCCTTATCACCTCACGGTGCCGGCAAATGGACAGGCAGCTCCGGGCAGAAGGCCACTGCTGCTCTGCAGTCTTCCCACTGATCAAGCTGAGTGAGGCATTAGAATATCAGGGAAGCAAACAGAAGGCCTCGGCCACGGACTCCCATTTCACACCAGGTACTAGCCACAGCCACCAGCTGTGACAGAGACTCTAACAGCAGGATGGACCAGACAGCTCCAGTTCTACACACAATTCTAGTTTATTATGGCAAAGGTGAAAATGCCACCTTCTCCACAACAGCAACCAGTAAAATTTATCCCAAAAATAACTCGGTACAAAACAGGTCTGTTTCAGAATTTAAAAAAAAAAAAGAAAGAAAAAAAGCCTTTACATGAGTTTTTAGATCCTATTTTAAAACAGGAGAAAAAGAAGAAACAAAAACAAATCCACCATTGTCTGCACAGTCCAGTCGCCAACCCTCCCTCTGGGGATCTCGGACGCAGCTTCTGGGTTCTGTTACTTGTGTGGATTTGCTCGGCTGTTTAACTGGTGTCCATCTGAAAGAGAGAGGTTCATTAAGGAAGCCCTTGTTTCTTCTGGCTTCACGAGATTACCACAGGCTGTGACTCAGCCCCACCCAGTCTTCTCTGAGCCCGAGGACTTACCCTGGCATTATAAGCATCCAGCTGTGCGTCCAGCTCCTCCGCAGAAAGCTGCTGCTTTGAGTTCCTGCCGGTACCTCTACCTCTTCCCCGGCTGCCTCCACGGGTTCCTCTCCGGGTGCCACCACCACCAAAACTTCCAGAGCCACGGCTTCTTGTCATGCCACCTCTGTTTATGCTAACAAAGAAAACATAACTTTAATCCATCTGTGCTTTGTGGATGGCGTTATCACAAACCCACAGCCTTTCCGTCCCCGAGGGCCCAGCACTTACCTCTGTGCTGGTCTTCTCTGCGTGTCAATCTGTGATGTGACGAGCTGGATGTTCATAGGACGGCCTATGGTAAAAAGAACACAACAAGTCTCATCCAGAGGCTCTGAAGCTGATACAGAGGGCACCACACCCTGGTCTCCATGCAAGCTCTGGAAAGGGCCTTTGTGTATCTCCAGTGCCCCCAACAAGGTATATGGCCTTAAGAGTCTGGTGGGAAAATAAAGTGGCGATAAATAACCCCACCAACACCTCCTCACTCCTTCTCAGTTCAAGCTAAGAGGGCTGCTTGGTCAGTGTCCAGGGTGCTCATAGGTGGACAGGTGTGGGTGACCTGATGGAAGAAGAACAGGTACCTTTGTCTTTACGACTACAGCCCCGCACTCAGGTTGTACTATGGCGGTTCTGAGAAGGCTTCACAGAAGTGAATCTTCCGGAAGGAGCTGAAGGAGGGGAGGGATGTAGCTTGCTGGATGGGGGTTCACAAGAGGTTGGTCCAGATGTGTGGGGCAGCATGAGAAGTGGCAGAATGGAAGAGAGAGACAAAGGGGCAAATGCAAAGTGTCCTCAGCCACAGGGGCAGCCCATATTCCTACAGGGAGAGGTGCCAGCCCCAAACTCCATAAGCCCCGCAGGCATCCTGGGCCCAGCCCCACACTCACCATCCAAAGGGACACCGTTGTATTGTTTCATAGCCTTTAGGGCATCTGCCTTCCGTTCAAAGTGCACGTCTGCTGTACCTAAACTTCGTCCAGAGCGATCATAGTGCACGGCTGCTTTCTTCAACGTTCCAAATTCGGCAAAGAGTTCCTGGGAAGTGGAAAGGGCGGCGGTCAGTGAAGTTGTGAGCCCTGCTCTTCGAGTGGCTCATTAGGTGCTGCGAACACGCGTGCTTTGAGGGAGCTTTCCTGACAGCCACCCGAGAAGGGGCAGGGCAGTGAACATCAAGAGGTGAGGGAAGGGACGCTGAAGATCACGAGCACCTGGGTTCCTGCCCACTTTGGGACTGCACCATGATGCCGGTGAGGACAGCACAAAGCCCTGGCACAGAGCAGAAGATTAAGAACTACCTCTCTCAGCAGGGGCATTACAACTCGAATAATGGCTGCTTCATCAAACAGCAGAGGCCAAGAGCAAAACCAAGGGCAGTTCCCACAGAGCAGATAGCTCCGAGGGCCCCCTGACCCCAGCCCCTCCCCCAAAGGCAGATTCTGGCTCACCTTTCCCTCTCCTCCTACTCAAGCCTGCTGCAAAGTCTGAAGTCAAACGCGCCATGGAAACTGCCCTGACCTCAGGCAGGCTGGGAGTTGGAGAGGGAACCCAGGCACACAGCGGGAGTGGAGGTCACCAAAAGCGGTTTCCAGTGGATGCCAGAAACCACCTTAAAAAAAGTGTTGAGACACTGTGAGTGCTCACTGGCTGTGCTAACTTCCCATGGCAAGGCCAAAGGGCTGGGCTCTGAGAAATAAAAACCCAGAAAGGCCCAGCACTCCGACCTAGCCATCTCCAAAACTAATTCCCAAAAACTCTAGAGATGCCTCTGAGGTCCAGTCAAAAAAAAAAAAAAAAAAAGACAAGAAAAGAGGGCAACGGCAAGTATGAGGACCATGCCCCTGCCCAGACCCAGGAAAGGTCGCTGGTTAAAACACAGGGCTTCAGGCTGTAACGCACACAGCACTGACACCATGCACCCCAGTGAGGCCAGACATCTGGGGGAGACTCTGTCTCCCATCAGCTCGCATCCCCGGTCAAACCGGGCAGCTCGTGCCCGTTAGAAACTGGAAGTCCTGGCAGAGGCAGGAGCTCACAGTGGTCGCCTTCAGGGACACACCAGGCTACCTTCCCGCAGCCTGACTTAATAGAAATGCTACTTTCTCTAAGGTCAAGTCACTTGGGGACAGTGGCTGGCCCCGGGGTGGGCGGGCTCCAGCCGGGAGGGGGTTCTGGACCGCACGTCTGTGCGGGACGCGCATCGCGACCGGCTCCGGTCTCCTACCTGGATATCCGCGTCTGACACCCCGAAGTCCAGGTTTGACACCAGCAGCTTCCCGCCCGTCTCCACGCCGGCGCCACCTCCGAAGCCGCTGTCGAAGAGGTCGTGCTGCCACTTGTCGGGAAGTTGTTTCGGCTGCAGGCAAAACCGTGAGGACAGAGAAACTCGTGAGCCTCGCCCCGGGCGCCCTCGACACTCCACCGCCACTCTCCCACGTCGGCCCGCAGTCCAGAGAGCACCCCACGCCCGCCGCCACGAGGCCGGACCGCGACCGGACAAAGCGTCCCGGAAGATCCCGGCCTGGGGCCGGGCCTCGCCGCGCGGCCTCGCCCCCGCCCACCCCTCCGCCGCGGTCCCCGCGGGGACTAGCGGAGCGCACGCCCGGCTCCGTGCTGCCGGGCAGCCGCCCGCTTCGGCGTCGCGCGTCCCCGGACTTACTCTGCTGTAGGGTGCCGGTCGGTTCCTGCCGCCGCCGCCCGCGGCGCCGCGAGAGATGGCGGGCCGGTTCCTCATAGGCCCGCCGCCTCGATTCACCCGCGCGGCGGCCTGCACCGCGCCGCCGCGGCCGCCCTGGGAGCCGGCCCTGCCGCGACCCCGGCCTCCGCCGCGACCGCCTCGCTGGCTCCGGTTCAGCTTAATGATATCGTCCAAAGACATATCCATTTTGTCGGCCATGGCGGGCGCGGAATCGGGCCTCAGATCGAGCCCGCGCGTCAGCACGCCGCAGCGTCACTTCCTGCGCCTGCCCCCGGTCTTCCGGCGTCGCGGCCCAGCGGCGGCCTCTGATTGGTCTCGGCGCGCGCGGAGCCGACGGACGCCTGCGCACTGCGCTCGGGGACAGCGAGCGCCGCTTCTGAGGAGCCGGACGCGGCACGGTCGTTTTTATACCTTCCCGCGCGGCGGCAACGGAAGGGCGGGGCGCCTCGTGATTAGGCGGCGAAGGTGCGAGGGCGAGGAGTGGGCGGGGACTCGGGGCCCCGCCCCCGAAGGCCGGAAAAGGCGGGGTGGCCTCGGCGTCGCGCTCCGTCTGCGGACGGGGCGCCTTCTTCGGGACCCCGGCTGTCGGGCCTGCTGTGCGGAGTCGGAGTTCGGGTTCGTCTGCTCGAGGGCGTGGTTTCTCTTTAGCAAGTTAGTGACTGTGCCTCCTCAGGTTTAAAAGCACAGCACTGGTTGTTAAGGAAAAGCTGGACGTTTTCCACGGACGCATTATTTTGTTTTGTTTTTGTTTCTTTTTTCCTTTTTTGGGGAGGGGAGGGGCTGACCTCGAACTCTGGTCCGTCTGCTTCTGCCTGCGAGCGAGTGCTGGGATCCGGGTGCTGGGATTAAAGGCTCGAGTCGGGGATTAAAGGCGTGTGTGACCCCGCCCCACTGCGTGGATGCAGATCTCGAAAGACATCATTAAACATGGCCAAACACCCTCGGAAGCACGGATCCCTTGAAGCGCCTAGCCCCTGTCGCAGCTCCCCTGGTCAAGTGCTCAAGTGCTGGAGCACTACAGACTAACTTTAGCCCCGGAATTCTCTGCCCACAGGTCACAGGCTCGGCCGCCATGAAGGTGAAGATTAAGTGCTGGAATGGTGTGGCCACTTGGCTCTGGGTAGCCAATGACGAGAACTGCGGCATCTGCAGGATGGCGTTTAATGGCTGCTGTCCAGACTGTGAGTGTCCCTCTGTGCTCCACCAGCCTTAGAAACCTTGGGTTTCCCAGCGCTAGGGAGGCAGAGGCAGGAGGATCTCTGAGATTGAGTTCGGCCTGGTCTACAGTGCAGGTTCCAGGACAGAGAAACCTTGTCTTGAAAAACTAAGAAAAACAAAACTGTAAGGTTTAGTTTCCATCTACTGAAGGAAAGCTGACAGAAAATATTTCTTGAAGCCCACTTTTCTATAAAGAGCCTATCTAGCACGGTGGCAAACACTTGTGGTATCAGAATTTGGGAGCAAAACAAGTGGATCTTTGAGTTGGAGGTTACGTAGTGAGACTCTGCAAAAACAGAAAGACAGACAAAGCCAACACTTGTTTTTGTCAGGGCATGGTGGCACAGACCACAGACCCGTGACAACAGCACTTGGGTGACTGAGGCAAATGAGCTTGAATTTGAAGCCTGCCTGGTCTATATGGTGGTAATCTGACATTCTCTTAACTCCTCAAACTTGTATTTTCAGTTTGAATTTTCTCAAAATGCCCCTAACTTGTTACCGCAAATTGAAGTTCAGACAGTGGTTGCCATATTGTCACATTTGCTGGATTTTTGTGCTAAAGTATTGTAAATTATAAGTTAGATGCTTAAACTATGAGCACACTTGAGCCTTGTCTTACAAGCTGTTCTAGCAACCTTATAATCATCTTGATGTTATCAGAGCGTTAGATCTGCAAACCAGGCTGGCCTCGAATTTACAGAGATCCTCCTGTCTCTGTCTCCTGAATACTGGATTAAAGGCACCCCTACCCTGCTCTCCCAGCCTGGCTTATCAGCCAATAGTTAATCGTCTTGATGTATTCAATAAGTTGTGAGTTGTCGTGTCCCCGCCCCCCCCAGGAAGGGTTTCTCTGTGTAACCTTGGCTGTCCTGAAACTCTCTCTGTAGACCAGGCTGGCCTCAAATTTACAGAGATCCTCCTGCCTCTGTCTCCTGAGTGCTGGGATTAAAGGTGTGTGCCACTATGCTCACCCAGCCTGGTTTATGAAAGAGTTGATGTCTATATAGACCAGGCTGGCCTTAAATCTGTCCCCACATGTCTTATTCCTGGGGTTTGAGCCATTCTCAACATCTCAGTACTCTTGGTTTTTCAGCTCTTTTATCTAAACAGCGTCTTCATATTTTCCTTTTTGTTTCCAAGTCATTTGAGTTTTATGATCTTAATGTGTTTTGCTGAATGCAAAAGGTCTTACTGTTTTGTGTTGTTCCTGTGTCCCCAGTATGTTATATAAAGTAGAAATGTTTGATTGCGTTGAGCGAAAGCAGTTTCTGTCTATTTATTTAGATCTCAATTTGTAACCCTGACAAGCCTAAAACTTACTGTGTAGTCCATTCTGGTCTCAAGGTCAGAGAGGTCTGCCTGCCTGTCTGTCTCCTGTGTACTGGATTATAGGTGGGACCCACCATTCTCACCCAGCCTGGCTTATCAGCCAAGAGTTGTGAGTTGTTCCCCCATTCCCCTCCTCCCACAGGGTTTCTCTGTGTAGCCCTGGCTGTCCTGAAACTCTCTCTGCAGACCAGGCTGGCCTCAGACTTACAGAGATCCACCTGCCTCTGTCTCCTGAGTGCTGGGATTAAAGCCATGCACCACCACCGCCCGGCGAGCTGTGTGTGTCCTAGGAAGTCATTGTTTTTTTGGTTTAAGTTTTATCTATAGCATTTATGATTAGCAACTAAGCACACAGTTCTAATTTTTATTTTAAGTAGAAAAATGTAAATTTTTGTTGTTTCATATTTTGAGACAGGGTTTTGTTAGGTTGCCTAGGCTGTCCTGGAACTATCTCTCTAGACCAGGCTGAACTCAAACTCACAGAGATCCAGATGCCTTTGCTCCTGAGGGCTGGGATAATAGGCATGCCTGCTACAAATGCAGATTCACTAAGGAAAAATGAGAAGGAACTTCCAAAAGTGTGAAGGGGAGGAATACTCTTTTAATCAGTCAATCAGTTTCTTATTTAATGGGACTGGGGATTGAACACAGGCCCTTTCATGTGCTCTGCAGGCTCTCCCCCACTGAGCTGTATTCCTAGGCTTGGCTCGAACGCACTCTGTCTTGAACTTTGAGTTCTCCTTCCTCGACTTCTAGAGCAGCTAGGGCGCAGGCTCGTCCACTGGTCTTGTCTTGAAATCACGTGAAGACTGGGTACGGTGGCGTGGGGCTTGGATCCCAGCACCGAGGAGGCAGAACAGATCTGTGATTCCAGGCATTCCTGGTCTGTGTAGTGAGTTCTGTGCCTGCTAGGCCTACATAGTGAGACACATACAGCCTCAAAGAAACAAAAACCCAACCTCGTCAACAAAATCACCCTTAAGGATGCTTCTATAGTGGGGATCAGGCATAGGACCTTCACTAATCTGCTGAGCTCAGAAACTTCTCCCCTCTAAAGTCTGTAGATATGAGAAATGTTTCCTTTGTTTTGCTGACTGCTGTCAGGTCTTCTGTCCCAGCTCTCTATGCTACAAGTGGCAATTGTTATTAAATAGACCCGCGTTACCTGAAGCTGGTGTTTCTTACCAAGCATGAAGGAATCTTTTTGTCTGTCTTTCATGTATACAGTGTTCTGCCTGCATGTATTCCTGCAGGCCAGAAGAGGGCACCAGATCTCATTACAGATGGTTGTGAGCCACCATGTGGGTGCTGGGAGTTGAACTGAGGTCCTCTGGAAGAGCAGCCAGTGCTCTTAACCTCTGAGCCGTCTCTCCAGCCCCCCAGGAATCTTTATTTAACAGAGCCACACAGAGTGTGGGAGTCAGAGGACAAGTGCTCGTGTGCATCTGTCACATCAGACAGCTTTGTGAACTCTCTGGAACTTGCTTATCAGCGCCACCTTCAGGCACAGAATTACCTGTTCTTACCTATGCATAAGTGACCCACACGTGGGCACAACCTGGATGACCCTAGCTGGGTCTGACCAAAGGGATGGCCAGAAAGCATCTTAGGTGGCTAGGCACTTAGAGTCATCCATGTGAAGTAGACCCAGGCTTTCTTAAAACAGGGCCGTTAGCTACACAGAGTGGGAGACTCAGTCTGGCTCACAGATTGTTTAAATGGGAGGGAGTTGACTTCACTGTGCCGAGTGTTTGACAGGTCCAGTCTGTTTTCTGGAGAGATTCCATAAGCATCAGCTTTCTCACAGATTAAACTCCTGTGAAAATTAAGTTACCAAGGCTGTAATAAATCTGTTTCAGGTCCCAGGGGGCTTTAAGGTAAAGAAGTCTTGTCAAGAAGTGTTTTAATTAAAAAAATAATAATTTCGTCAAGGCACTAACCAGGCCTTGCATGAATCACCGTCAGTGTGCCAGCACGCTCATCAAGTGCTCGCCCTGGAGGGACAGCACCCTCCTCCACATGACCACCCACACACAGATGAACCAGCTCCGTGATCTTGTTTGTGAGCCAATAGGGTCTGAGTCTAATTAGAAAAGGGTGATTTCAAGCAGAGCTCTGCTGAAGTTAGGAGCCGGGGTGGTGCACATGCCTTTAATCCCAGCACTCTGGGTCAGAATGAGTTCTAGGACAGCCAGGACTACACAGGGAAACCATGTCTTGAAAAACAAAACAAAGGAAAGAAAGAAAAGAGAAAGGCTCAGTCGTGCTGAGCACAGGTGTGACAGACATGGACTGGTTCCCCAGGATGGATTGGGTGCACTGACCCAGGCTGATAGTGTCCCTGTGCTCTGCCTTCTTCAGTAGGGTTTCTAGTCTGAGGAAGCCAGGGATACTTGTTTTTGAACGGGGTCTCATGTCTCTTGTATCCTAGGTTGGCTTCAAAATCCTTGTGTAGCTGAGTATGGCCTTGAATTCTTCATCCTCCTGCTTCCAGCTCACAGGTGCTGGGATTGTCTGGTTGTGCAAACCTGGGGGTAGAATGCGGGCTTTGTGCATTCTAGGCAACCGTTCTACCAGCTGAGCTGCGTTCCCAGTCTCCCCTTTTGTTTTTACATTGGTGTATGTATGTCTGTGTGAAGGTGTCCTCAGGTCCTCTGGAGCTGGAGTTACAGACAGTTGTGTGCATGTGGGTGCTGGGAATTGGACCCAGGTCCTCTGCAAGAGCAGCCAGTGCCATCTCTCCAGCCCCTGTTTTTAAATTTTACTTTAAGAAAAAAAAAAGATTAATCTGTTTTCATTTATGTGTATGGGTGTTTTATGTCCCTCTGTGTTTACCACATGCATGCAGTGTCTGTGGAGACCAGAAGAGGGCGTTGGCTCCCCTGGACCTGGAGCCACAGGTGGCTGTGAGCTGCCACGTGGAAGCTGGAAACTGGACCTGGGTCCTGGGCAAGATCAGCAAGTGCCGTAACTGCTGAGCCAACTCTATAGCCCTAATTAGTTTTAATCATGAAACTAATTGTCTGGCTCTGATTGGGCTTTCTCCATGGAGGAAGACTTCCAGGCTTGCAGAGTGAGAATCTGCAGCCTGTGCCCCTGGCTTTGGATAGAGGTGGGAGAGCTGAAGGTTCAGGTGAGAGAGAGGATGGCACCTGCTGATATCAAGTCCCCTCAGCAGCTGTCCCATGAACACCAGGGTGGTACAGTTGATCTCGGGGGTCCAGGGAAAGAACCTCCCTGAGTTCCAGCGTGCCTTTAATGAAGACAGAGTTCCCTACTCAGGTTGTGACTCCTTGGCACCATGGCCATTTTAATGTTACCTTCTGGGTATTCTAGGTCAGTTTTCCACAGATGGGTGTGAGGGAGTCACTGTAGGTCTTTCAAGCCGTGGGCCATATCTGGGGACGGTTTGGGTCACATTCCTGCGTGGTCTCCCCTGAGAGGCTCTGCCTGTGGGCTGGAGCCATTTCCAATGCCCTGGAGGGGCCTGCTTGGCTTCACGTGCTCTCCTGTGTCCTAACGTCTTCCCTCCTGCCCCCTTACAGGTAAGGTGCCTGGGGACGACTGCCCTCTGGTGTGGGGGCAGTGTTCGCACTGCTTCCACATGCACTGCATCCTCAAGTGGCTGAACGCGCAGCAGGTGCAACAGCACTGCCCCATGTGTCGTCAAGAGTGGAAGTTCAAGGAGTGAGGCCTGTGTTCCCTCTACCAGCACTGGGCCAGGCTCCGTCCCTTCCTCCCCTCCTCACAGTGGCACCCCGGCCCTGGTTCTGCACTGAGGACAAGGATGCCTTCCTTTTGGCTGAAACAAGGAGGTCTTTTTGTTTGTTCGTTTTTTCATCGCATCATTGACACTTTTATTCAATAAGTAAACTCATTAAAGTCCCGAGCCTTGCTGGAGGCCTCCGGCTGCTGCTTTCTTGACATTGATACAGCTGCAGCGTGTTTTGTTATGAAAACCCCTATGAATAAACATCTTGATGAAATAACTGCCGAGGGCTTCTTGATAATCTGAGTCACAACTCAGAAACAGGAAAAGTAAAAGAGACTAAGGCAGGACCAAGCTGGGCAGAGACCTTAAGGTGTGTTGTGCTGGGGGACTGGCAGGAGCACATAGCCCATCTGCTGCCCTAACCTGGAAGAAGCCCCAGCCTTAGCTGGGCAAAGCTGGCCGTTCTGGCCTAGCAGGCACTGGTCATGCCCAGGTGATCTTCGGAGACTACTGTGTCTTCCTCAGACTGAAGACCAGATCTAGGGTAGGAGGATGTGGTCCTCTGGTGCCCTCGGGAGGAACAGCCCTTTGCAAACTTCATTATTCCCTACAGCTGGGGATTTTCAGCCTCTTAGGGGACAGTAGACCAGCCCTATGGTGTCTGGAAGCTCCTGGGTGGAAATTAATTTAGGGTGGTATCTGGGAGTCCTAGTCAGTTCATCACCTTGTCCTTGTGAGGGCCAGCCATGATGAGCTAAGTCTGGGCAGGTCACCCAAAGGAAGTTCTTTATTTCTTCCAACCACCATCACCCGGGACTCTGGCCATGGGTGAATTTCAGTGGAGGCTGGCGTCTCAGGTGTTCACCCTGAGAAGGTGCCAGGCTGCAGGAGGAACCAACCACAAGCTGGGATCACCCGACCCCTACCCAAGAACAGACCATTCAAAGGAAATTCCTGGCATTCCAAGCACTGTAGATAGAAACACCTGCTAGTCCACAGTCAACCAGGACACCCCTAGAACGAATGCCAGCCAATCAGGGGTCTTAAAAACCCCTCACCCCCACCTTTACTACTATAAAACCCTATTCTAATTGAGCTTGGGGCTCTCCGGTTATTCCAATACGTTGGACATGCAGAGAGACAGAGTTTGAAAACTTGACTAAAATAAAGGCTCTTTACTTTTACATACGGGACTATTGGTTTCCTTGTCTGCTTGTGGGGATTGTGGATTTGGGCATAACAGTCCTCAGAGACTCAGTGATCATGGACAGTGAACACATTTGCATACCACCTGTGCCCTACAGCCTGGAGAGCAGGCCAAGCAAGCAGGGGCAGGACTCCCCGCCATCTCGATCATCTACAAGGGTGTTGGCAATGATGGCTTGCTGTCTACAGTGCCCTTGAGGTACCTCCTACTTGAAACATCTGTGCTTCTGAGAGACTATAGCTCCATACTGCTCGGTTATCTCTCGCATGCTGAGCCTGGCACTGGCATCAGCTGACACGAACAGAGATGGGTGTAACCCAAGAGCTGCAGAGGGGCGTCGAGATCTGTGGATTTGGAGCTCCTTGGGCTGACAGGTCTGGTTCATCCATCCCCAGTCTGCTCACCCTCCTGGGTGCCCTTCGTGCATTTCCTAGGAACGTTCTGTGGGGAAACCCACCATTCTAGGTCACCCTGCTGAAGCATCTTCCTGTACAACGGAGTATTCGTGAGGTCTTTGTCTTCCCAGGCTCACCTCAGGGCTCTCTGACTACAAGGCTTCACTCTGGGTTCCTTAGCATTTAGGTCTTTCTGATCTGTTATCTCAGGACCAGCTCCACTCATCTCACATCCCCAATCTCTCTGGAGATCAGAAGACCCTAACTAACCCCAGGCATATAACCCTCCCTGCATATAGAGTCCCTGGTTCTGGTCAGGACGCCCTGATACAATCCCATCACGACAGCTTGTGCTCTCCCTGAACCCCTTTCCCAGGCAGGAACAGCAGGTCCTGTAGGAAGCTTATGCCATCGACCTAGGTAGCCTTTCTCCGTGCCTCCTCCTCCTTCTTTTTCTTCTTCTCCTCTTCTTCTTTTTTAAGTTTTTTGAGACAGGGTTTCTCTGTGTAACAGCCCTGGCTGTCCTTGAACTAGCTCTTGTACACCAGGCTGGCCTCAGACTCACAAAGACCTGCCTGCCTCTGCCTCCCAAGTGCTGGGAAAAACTCTGTCTTGAAAAACGAGAGAGAGAGAGAGAGAGAGAGAGAGAGAGAGAGAGAGAGAGCGCCATGCGATGGCGCCTCACATCTTTAATCCCAGCACTCAGGAGACAGGCAGAGGGATCTCTGTGAGTTCAAGGTTGAATCTCACATCTTTAATCCCAGCACTAGGCAGATGGGAAGTGTTATGGCTGGGCAGAGAGAGGACTAGAAGGCAGGAGGAGACGGGAGCTCAGATGCAGTCCAAGGACTTGTAGTGATACGATCACCCCTCTGGTCTGAGGGAGAGGTAAGAACTAGTGGCTGGCTGTGCTGCTTCTCTGATCTTTTAGCTTTCGCCCCAATAGCTGACTCCAGGTTTTTATTATTAAGACCAATTAGAACTCACTACTGTAGGCCATTTTTTATTATATATAATTTCTATTTTTTGTGTGTGACTGTTTTACCTACAAGCATGTCTGTGCACCACATGCATTCCCCCCGTATCTGCAGAGTCCAGAAGACATGTGATCCCCTGGAACTGGAGTTACAGTTGTGAACTGCCATGTGGGTGCTGGGAATTGAACCTGCGTCCTCTGGAAGAGCAGCCAGTGCTTTAAGCCACTAAGCCATCTCTCCAGCCTGGGGATTTTCTTTTCAAAACAGGGTTTCTGTGTAACAGCCCTGGCTGTCCTGGAGCTTGTTTTAATGACCCCCCTGCCCAGCCTCCCGCGTGCTAGGGTTAAAGACAGGTGCTGCTGCACCCAGTGGAAATTTCTTAATTAGTTACTGATCTGGGAGGGTCTAGTCCATTGCGGGGCAGGTGGTCCTGGGTTCTATGAGAAAGCAGGCTGAGGAAACCAGGAAGCAAGCCAGGAAGCAGCACTCTCCCATGGCTTCCAGGTTCCCCGTCTGAGTTCTTGCTTTCGCTTTTCCAGTAGACTGTGGCAAGGAATATGTTAACCACATAAAAACCCTTTCCTCCTGACGTTGCTTTTTGGTTGTGATGTTTCTTCACAGCGATAGTAACCCTAAGACAGTCTCTCATCCCGCCTGGGGGCGTGGATACTTCTGGCCAGAAAGCCTCAGAGGGCAGTTCAACTTCAGCAAGGAGAGACTGGCTCTCTGTCATCAGTGACATGAGTGTTCAGGCCCAGCAAGGTGTAAGAGATCCCACTGATCCTCTGTGCACAGCCCGTGCTCCACTGCCACGCCTCCCTGCTCCTCCTCCCGGCCTCTGTTCCCGCCTCCCCCGCCCTACATCCCATTGCAGATATAAAGCCCAGTCCGGTTCAGACTTCAGCCACATTTTCCCTGCTCCTGCGCACAGCACAGCTCCATGGCCCAGTGTGGGACGTCGGTGGCCGCCGCCGCCCTGACACTGCTCTTGCTGCTCCTGCCACCAAACCTTGCTTGGTACAAGCCTGCGGCGGGACCCCAGCACTACTCGGTGGGCCGCGCCGCGGGGCTGCTGTCTAACTTCCACAGGTTCCCGTCCCCGCGACGCTCCGAGTCCCCAGCACTCCCTGACGGAATTGGACCCCTACGCTTGGAGATGCGCTCTAGCCTAAGGAGCCTTGTGAGTGCAAGGGGGTGGCGGGTGGCGGGAGCCGGTGGGGCACAAGCAGGACCTCAGCCTCCACCGCCCACCCAGGCCCTGTGTGTCAAAGAGGTGACCCCGAACCTGCAGAGCTGCCGGCGGCAATTCAACAGCCCAGGGACTTTGCAGTGTAAAGCGGACGTCTTCTTATCGCTGCAGGAGGCTGAATGCCAACAGCCTGAGCCCTGAACCCCCCATGTCCAGCCTTGCTTGAAGCAGCGCAGGCCCTGTCATGTGGGTTGGCGCCCGTGACCCCTAACTCCTACCATGCCCCACAGCAAATGGCTAACTGAATAAAGAAGCAAACCGTGTCTGCTGAGGGTTGCTGGAGGAGGTGACTAGTGCTCCTGGGAGTGGGTGACCACGAAGCAGGCCCTCGGGCCGCTGCTAGGCTTCCCTATAGCATCCCCTTCCCTGGCCAGGCTGGGTCTTTCCCTCTTCCACAGAGCAAGAACAGGTATAGAGGCTCCCCAACCCCACAGTCTGCACAGGTGACCCCCCTACATAAGTAGTAGGCACTGGGCATAGAGAGTTCCTAGTAGGTCATCTGAAACATGCTGCCCCTCAAGTCAGAGAATTGCCCTTAGCAGTCCAGGTTCCTAGGTTCTTTCCGGAAGTCCTGCTTTGTGTCTTGCCTCACCCTAGGCGATCCTGCTGCTTCTGGGATTCCTACTGCCCCCACCCCTAACCTTGTCTGGCTCCCACCTTTTAAAGTCCCTCCCCAAAGACCTTGAAGCACTAAGTACTTAGCTACTGTATGTTCAACAAACCAGGACCAGAAGTGAGGTGCACTGATCTAGAGTAAGGCTCTAACTGCACAGGAGCCCTTAGACCCACCCCCAAACGCCCACTGCCCTGAGGGCCAGAGCCTGGCCCTCCCCTCACATATTCTGGGCGCTGGCCACAAAGCCAAGTGGGCAGCTGGCTTGAGTCCGGCCTTCCCTCCCGCCCAAGGCAAACACTCCCAGGTGCCAGCTCAGTAGCTGAGCAAGCTCTGGTCTGGGAGCCCCTGAGCCTGCTGTTGAGGGTGTCTTCCTCTCCGTGGTGCCTCACCCAGAGGCCATGGGTGGCACAGAGCATGCCTGCCAGTGAAGTGTTCCTCTGGAGACCAGCACACTCGGTGGCTTCCTTGACCTGAGACTGTGCAGAGTATTCCACAGCCTAGGGTTCTAGCGTGGGCACCACCCCCGTTCCTAGCAGGCAGGGCTGAGCACTGTACCTCTGAGCACTGTACGGGCTGGAGGTAGGTATGCCCCTCCTCCAGATCTTGACCCCAGGTCTCATATGCTCACAAAGGCTCTCCTGCTTCCAAGGGAAGAGAGAAGGCAGGTCTACCTGCTTCAGTAGGTGCAGAGACCAGGCGTGGGATAAGAGTACCAGCAGCATCCTTGTTTGAGAGAAGCCAGGACTTCAGCACTCCCCTAAAGTCAACCACCAAGAGGCAGCTGTAGGAGCCTCAGCAACTGCTGGGCTCCAAGCAGACCTGGTAGTGTGCCAAGATCCTGGGTCTACAGAAGAGCCAGGGCAGGTACACAGGCTGCCCAGCTTCCTGGCCTGGCCCGTGCTCCCTTCTCTAAAAGAATCTCTGCTGTGGACGGGTTTCCTGCGTCTTCCTGGGGCCGGGCGCCCACCAGGCGCTCCCGCTAGGCTTTATTCAGGGAGCCAAAGAAATTTACATAGGCCACTGAGGTACAAAATGAGGACCACGGAGTCTGTGCAGAGAACAGTCAAGCTGGCCCAGCCGTCAGGGAAGTACATCTTCTGGGAATCAGGAATGGGGTGCTAGAACGTGCCCCAAAGTAGAGGGTGACCACTTGCAGGGTGACCCGGGACAAGAGGTCCCCAAAGTCATCCCCCTCTGTACCTCTCATCAAAGCTGGGCTGGCAGATTGCAGCTTCCAGTCAGGCAGGAGGGGCGTCCCCAACCAAGACTGGGGCAGTGGCAGTCGGAACTGTGGACGCTAAGGTCACACAGCAACACTCCTCCGTCTCCTGTCCGCTGGGCTGCTTCACTGTGCTGGCCACCCTCTCTGGGCAGCTCAGTGCAAAGGACTGAGCCTGTGGCAAGGTGGGCGGTGGGTGCCTCACAGGCGGTAGAACAGCACCCTCCAGCAAAGCCAGCTTCCTTTGGAATTATGTGAGCTGCCACCAGGACACAGAAGCAGAGCAGGGTAGGGAGAGAAGAGATGGGCACAGAGCAAGGGCATGAGTGACATCCTCCAGGTCAGAAGTCAGTCAGTCTCCCCTGCAGGCTGTGCCTCCTGCTGCCTCCTGGCCTCCAGAAAGGCCAATTCCTTGGCTTCCTTCTTCTGATTCCGTGCTTCGTACTCCAACCTGCAGCCAGACAGGCATCATCAACAGGGCCTCCAATGCCAGCCACCCACGGCCAACCCACCGGAGAGGGAGGGGCCACACCTGTTCTTGATGATCCTCTGCACAATCAGGTCTGTGGTGAGGTCGCTGCCACTGTCGATCTGACGGAAGATTCCTCTTCTCTTGGGCTCCTGGAGGCCTCAGTGCAAAGAGAGGAGGGTGGTGAGAATCCTCCTGACCACAAAGACACCCCCAGGTGCCCCTCTACACACAAGAGACCAAAACCAGAAAGGACGGTTGTTCCCACTTCCCAGAGGCAACTCAGACCAGGGCAACCCACCTGGTAGGGGTCAGAGCCATCCCTGTCCGGCACAATTTCTGTCTTCCCGTGACATACTAGGTCCACCTACAAGGGGAAGGAAGGGTCAGGCCTCCTCAGAGAAGCTCTGCCACCACTGGCAACCACCCAGGGCTAGCCCAGACCTAGGAAAGCTGGCCTTGGCGGCCCTGGCTGACCCAGGAGGTCAGCTAGAGAGAAGCCTCACCTTGAAGTGACTCAGGAGCTCCGCTGTGACCGAGTACGGTGCCCCAATGACCACTTCTGAAACATACTGCAGAGACACAGCCGGGAAATCAACTCACTCAGTTCTCATGTCTGGCAAGCCAGGGCTACAGGGTGGCAGAGAAGGCCCAGGGAGCCAGCTGGGACAGGGCAACATAGCAGTGCCAGTGGCAAGCCAGGGCTACAGGGTGGCAGAGAAGGCCCAGGGAGCCAGCTGGGACAGGGCAACATAGCAGGGTCAGCGGGCAAAGGGAATCCTCAGACTCCTCAGTAGGGGACAGAAACTGCACCAATGGGGCCCAGCCACCCGCCACCCGCCTTACTACGGCTCAGGGAAGTATCGCTTCCAGCCCACTCACCCGGCAGGCCAGCACGCTCAGAGTCCGCTCATGCAGGTTCATGATGGGGTAGTTCTTGCCCTTGTATCGGTTTACTTCCTAGGGCCAGGAGGTTTGCTCAGCTAAGGAATGGTGCCCTCCCACCCAGCTGGCCTTCCTGGGCAGAAGCTGGGAGAGGCACCCCTCTCATGGGAACCCTAGGCAGGGCTGTCCTGGACTCCAGAAGAGATCCATGCCTGCCTTGACTAGACACCTGGAGCCTCACTCCTTTAGAGGCCACCTGTGCCTACCACTGACCCCAGCGAAGACCTGTGAGGGATCCCATGGCCCATCAGCTCATGGGGTACTGAGAAGTGAACAAGCAGAAAGGCAGAGACCTGGTCAAAGTGCAGGCCGGCGATGATGTAGGGCCTCTTGGCCAGCTTGTGCACCTCCTCCAGGAAGTCCACGTGCCCGATGTCTATATCCAGATTAAGAAGCGGTAACAAGCTGTACATGGTGTTTTCCTGCATACCTAGCACTTGCATGGTGGAGGCAGGAGCATTGCAAGCTCTAGGTCAGCCTGGACCACACAGGAAAATTCTGTCTCCAAACAGCGAGACCTGGGGCTGTAGCTCAGCAGTGGTCACGTGTCTCAGATACAGAGCCCTGGGTTCCATCCCCAACCCAAGGGGTGAGGGGCGGCAGTAAGGTGTTAGCAAGGAAGGGCTCTCTCCTGTCCTCAATTGCCATTTTCCTGGTGAGGGCTGTACCCGCTACAACCCAGCTCAACCCTGGGGCCTTGAGTCTCTGGGTTCCACTCTGTGGTATGGCTGTGGAGCACAGAGGCCCTGAGAGGATACGGAACAGGTCAAAGGCACCGGCCACGTAGATGACTGTCTCTCCAGGCTGGGGCTCCTTCCCAGAAGCAAACTGGATGATCTTCTGGGATGTCTGCAGAAACTGGGACACCCCTGTCCAGGGACTCTGCCCCCCAGGGCACTATTAGCCAAGAGAAGGAACTAGTTAGTGCCAGAGGCCTCTATGTGTGCCCCTCTCCCAGCACCCCCACCCTCAGGGCCACTCTTCGGAGCCCAGGGCTTCCTGTGCCCCTGTCATAGGAGTGGGTGTTGGGCGCATGTGCAGAGAGCATAAGAGGCTGGACTCCCCCCAACCCCAGCCTGCGAATGACCCAGCAGCACAGCGGGGGGCTATGTCCAGGCAGGCACTTGGGGCAGGGGCAAGGACACACCATGGTAAGGTCAAGCAGGACCACTGTAGCTAGCAGGACTGTGGCTCCACCCGGTGGCCACAGAAGATACTGCAGTCAACACCAGCTCTGCCTGGCAACACACCACCAGGAGCAGGCGCAGAGCCCAGTGGCCAGCAGTCACAGCCCTCTGAGGGACCCGGCACCCTGAGGCCACCATCTGGTCACCTGGGAGGAGACTTCTGAGGAAAGTGTGTCCCCGGCAGGTGTCGGGTGAGGGGGCTACAAAGGGAGAGAGGGCCAGGCCATTTGGTTAGATGCCACCTGTAGGTGGGCAGTTCTTGCTCCTCCTCCAAGAAGTGGCTGCTGGGACTGGCCACCTCTTGCCTGTCCTCCCTCCCAGAATCCACTAGCTGGCCAAGCCTGGTGGTCAGTACCTGGCCAGCACTGGGAAGGAGAGGGAGGAGGGCAGACAGTGAAGCCCTGGGTGAACCTTTCCCCGTGGGAAGCCTACAGTGGGAGGCTGGGGAGCGCTGGTGGTGGCTGTCTATTTCCAGAGCAGCCTCGCAGCCGGCTGGACTCACCTTGCCAAAGCTGTCAGCATATTCCCGGTACTCGGAGGACATCTCCTGCACACAAGGGCAAGAGGCTAAGGGACCTCGCCCTCCATAGCCCCAGAGCCCAAGGATGGGATGGTCAGGGAGAGCACAGGCTGGACCCGAGGGTGGCTAGGAGGTGCCCCGCCCTCCCTGTTTGTCCCAGACCCCATTCCTCCGGACTCACCTGACTGCTGTGGTGGGCCTTGGTCACCAGCAGCATGCGGCCCACGAGGTCTGTGGTGGACACACCCTGCGTGCGTTTGCACTCTCTGGGGCAGAGGTAAGGTGGAGGTTTTCATCCCAGACACTGCTGAGGCTCTGCTATAGGCGGAAGCCACCTGAGGGACATGACCCTAACCCAGTCCCCCCACAACAGAAAACCAGACTGGGGCAGAGCAATGGGCTCGCATCAGTGACAGAAGCAGAGGGTTCATTCAACTGTACAATGTAGCACCCGGGAGTAGGCAGGCCACATTTGGGACACACAGCTCTGGTTCCCATTTTGACATCGTACCCTCTGGCCTCTCTTAGACCCAGGACCCTATACCCTGCTCTGTTCCAGGCTGCTTTGTCTTCTGTAGGAACCACTGGCCACAGCTGGCTCTTTAAATTATAGTTAATTAAAATAAAAGGCCAGTTCTCCAGGGGCACCCGTGACACTACTGAGTCCATGGATGCCCTACCCACAGTGCTGATCAAGAATGCTGCCCTAGGGGGGCTGGAGAGATGGCTCTGAGGTTAAGAGCATTGTCTGCTCTTCCAAAGGTCCTGAGTTCAATTCCCAGCAACCACATGGTGGCTCACAACCATCTGTAATGGGGTCTGGTGCCCTCTTCTGGCCTGCAGGCATACATGGAAGGAATGCTCTGTATACATAATAAATAAATAAATAATTAAAAAAAGAATAATGTATACATAATAAATAAATATTTTTTAAAAAAGAATGCTGCCCTAGGACTGGCCACACAAAGGTCACCCACAAGCAATTCCTTCTTGCATCCAGTACTGACTGTGGGCCCAAATGCCCTGCCAGCTGCCTCAGAGCAGCAGTGAGAGCTAGGAAGGGATGCACTTGAGCACCACTGGACCTACCTGTACCTCCCAGCCTGCTTCACCTCCTCATAGGTGTCTCGGCCATCTACCGTCAACGTGATGTCATCTAGGGGTGACACGCACACACAAAAGGATTCTGTTGTTTCTGACAGAGAGGATCTTGCTGTGTCGTCCAGGCTGACCTGGAACTTTTGTTTTATTTCTTGAGACAAGGTCTCTGTGCAGCCCTGGCTGTCCTGGAACGTGCTGTGTAGACCTGGCAACTCAGAGGTCCGCCTACTTCCGCCTCCAGAGTGCTGGGGTCAATGGCTTACACACCATCGCCCGGGTGACCTGGAGCGTTTAACACCCTTGCTTCAGCCCCCCCCCCCCCCCCCCCCCCCCCCCCCCCCCCCCCCCCCCCCCGTCACTAGGATCATGTGCATGCAGGCTCATAGCTCGGGGCACCCTTGGGACCAGAGTGACCCTTTCATTTGTGCCAGTGCTCTCGGGGAATGGGCCCAGAGCTTTCTGTCTGCATGGGACCAGGAGCCCTCTACCCCTGAGACCCTGTCAGCTGTCAATCATCTGACTGAGCCCAGCCCCCATCTCCAGGCTCCGCCCACTCACTGCCATGAACACAGAAGTCACAGTTGAACTTGTCCAGTGTCTCCAGGGTGGTGACATAGGGAGCGGCGGGCACCACTTCATCCACCCATTTGATGGCCTGTACCATCTTGTACCTCTCCTCCTGGGTAAACACGGGGGGGCCCTTATGCTTGGCAATCTCCTCTAGGGACAGAGAAAGAAAAAGGACAAAAGAAGACAAATGATGGCAGTCTCCAGGGGCCAGTCCTTAGGAGCCTCTACCGCAAAGCGAAGCGGGAAGTAAGTCTCCCAGCCTTAGCCCACAAGGCAGGACCCCATGTAGCCAGATTGTGTGCCCAGGTTAGTAAGGATACCCTTTAACCAAGTCTGTTCTCAGGAATCAGAGAATCAGGGTAGGGTGGACAATACAGCTGGAGATGCCCCGTCCAGTGTAGCCACAGCTCTCTACAGCTGGGACCAGGCTGCATTACTTACTAAACTCTTAGCCACTGCTGTGCTCTGGGGAAGGAGGCAGGATTTGTTCCCCCGCCCCCGCAAGCTCCGTTGGTTGGAGTAGGTTCCAGGCACAGCAACCCACACCTTACCATCGGTATGCACACCCACGATGAGGTAGTCCCCCATGGCCCGTGCCTGGCGCAGCTGATTCGAGTGACCATAATGCACCATGTCATAGCTGTGAGGGCAGACAGGGTTGGTGGTCAGGCCTTATACTGATCTCAGCTGGACACTGGGGGCCTTGTGCAGGACCGCAGCTTTGCTCCTTTGGAAGCCCCCTGGGAGGGCTACTAAACCAAACCCCTGGATTTGGGGCTTACAGAGCCAAAGTCGGTTCTCGGTTGTCCACACCCTAGATACCGGACTTAGGGAACGGTCTCAGTCAGTGCCAGGTCAGTTCAGGGAGGAGGCTTGGTAAGATCCAGAGAGCCGGTAAGTGACACCCGCAGCTCACAAAATACAACTTGTCCAGGACTTAAAACGTGGAACTTTCTGCACCCTAAGCAAGACTCAGCCCCAGATCAACAAGCCACACTCAAGCTTTGAAACAAGACAACAGTCCTGAGTTAGGAACAGACTCCATTCTACCCTCAGACAGGCCAGCCTCATCCACGTGGCCTGGCTTAACTCTGAAAGAAGTTAAGAACCGTCACCTGGTTCTGGAATCTTTATCCTCAAATCTAGGTCTGGGTGTGACCACACTGTCAAGGTCAAAGCTACCCGGAACCCAGCAACATGCTGGGCACTGAGGGTACCAGTGTGCACTGGGGCCACCTGTATTCTTCTCCACGGGCCAGTGCTGGGTCACAGTCTCTGCTCAGCTTCCTCCAGAACTCCAGCAGGGTGTCATCGGGTGACCCAAGCAGCCCAGGATAGCCGCTACAGTTCACAGAATGGAGGCAGGAAAACAGACAACCCTAGCAGGCTCAGGCACCACGGTAAACTCTGGGCCAGCCTTTGTGCCCACTAGACAGGTAGGGCAAGGTTGGAGGCCAGAGTCTGCGTCTGGGATTAGGGCACAGTGTTGTGGTTGAGCCAAGGTCATAGTCCACTGACACGAAGTCAAAGCCACTGCTGGTGACTCGGGTGCAGAAGAGCGGGAGGGGCAGAAGTTGTAGCTCACTTGCCTAGCTTGTACCAGGCTATGGATGCATCTTCAGGACCACCAAACCAAAACAAACGAGAAATGTACCAAGTCCAGTCTACTCCCCGACCGAATCCCCTGGAGAGCCCTAGTGACCATTCTGCATCCCTTCTCATTCACCCGGGTTAGGCACGACGAAGGGCTGGGGGCAGTTACAGAAAGGCCAACATCTTTTCTGCTTGTTGACAGTTCCACGACTTTCTTAGAGCGAAGCAGCGTCACGGGCTGACTCGCCAGGGAGCCCTTGGCCTTCCAACCCCGGGAACCTGGGTCAGAACCACCGCGGTCGGACGGCCGCATTTCCGGTCTCCGGGGAGAGCGCTGCCCGGTGCACCCGCACGCAACACTTCCGAGTGGCCGGGGGCCGGAGTGCCTCGTGCGGCCTCGGAAGACTCGGGATCCGCCAACGGCCGGTGCGTGACCCCGCGGCGGCCGCCCACCCCTCGCCGCCGCCGCACTCACCAGCCGTCGCACCACACCCGCACGGCGCGCTGGCCCGCCGGGACCCTCCGCCCGGCAGCGCCGACCTCCCCGTGCCCGTTCCGGATCATGGCACCGCAGGCCCCCGTAAGACCGGGGCGCTCCCGCGACTCGCAGGACTCTGGCCCCGCCCCCAACGCTTGCGCGCGCTCACGCGGGTCTCACCCGCCTGCCGCGGCCAATTGCGAGCGCGACTCCAGGCCCCGCCCCCGTCCCGGCCCCGCCCCCAATGGCCAACATTGGCGGCCAATGATGTGCGTCGGAGGTCCTAGTCCAAGCAGGGTCAACTCCCACGGAGTGTCCTGTAGAAATCCCTCCGGCCCTGCGTCCAAAGGGAAAAGGGAGCAAGCTAGTACGGCAGGTTCGCCCCCACGCCTTGAGCATTCCTAGGGACTGGATTTACTTTTTTTTTTTTTTTTGATACAAGGTTTTTCCATGTAACAGCCCTGGCTGTCCTGGGTTAGTAGCTCTTGTAGACCAGGCTCGCCTCTAACTCACAGAGATCCGCCTGCCTCTGCCTCCCCAAGTGCTGGGATTAAAGGTGGGCGCTGCTTCCCCCCCCTCCCCCCAAGCGGGGCTGAGATTTTCTTTTCTTTTTTTTTAGTATTTATTTATTATTATGTATACAATATTCTGTCTGTGTATGTCTGCAGGCCAGAAGAGGGTACCAGACCTCATTACAGATGGTTGTGAGCCACCATGTGGTTGCTGGGAATTGAACTCAGGACCTTTGGAAGAGCAGGCAATGCTCTTAACCACTGAGCCATCTCTCCAGCCCCGGGGCTGAGATTTTCATAAGCACTGCGTAGCTGGCCCTCAGGTATTTTCAGATACTCCGCGGTGCATGAAGCAGTCACTGAGACACCAAGGCAGTAGAGAGATGTTTATTAAGACTTGCTTAGACTGGGGGCTTGGACCCGCCCCTGTGCCGCATACCCAACACAGAAAAAGGTTTCTATAAAGTGAACACACTTTAGTCGTAAGTAGTAGAAATAGTGAGGCCCTGAGACTAGCCTGGAGTGAGGTAAGGCAGTGGGGGGCTCCTCTGCTGGCCAGGCCGGAAAAACGAAGAAAGGCCTTGCTGCCACCTTTGAAGCGGGTGAAGGGAGGAAGGTGTCCTTGAAAGTCAAGCCCCCGTGGGTGCAATCACAAGGACAAATGGCTAAAGAAACATCACCGTGAACTGTCACCCCCAAGAGTTCTTCCCACTGGATCCTGTGGGGGCGCTGCAGCCTTCACGGTGACAGAGGCCCCTGAACAAGCGTCCGCGCAGTCTACAAAGTGCCCATGGTTCTCTGTCGACACCTGGCTATGCAGCTTTCTTCCTCTTCGCACGCTTGGCACAGCCCCTGCCAAACCAGCCTCCTAGAATGGGGGGAGCTGAGCTAAGCGGGGCACTCTGGTCCCCAGGTGGGGCGTCTTCTCGGCTCCTGCTCAGCGACTTCCGGCTGTGGCTGCCTTCTTCGCCAGCACGGAGGGGAGTGGCCAAGGAGAAAATGGGGTCTTGCCACCTGACAGGAGGAAAAGCGGCATCAGGCAGGTCTGAGCCCCTCTCAGTCACAACCCTCCCAGGCACGGGAAAGCTGTCTGAGGCCAACTGTCTCAACGGTGGGCGGGCTTTGGCTAGTGGCAGCTTCGGTGTCACCACGCTACAGAAGAGCTTCAAGGGATAATCTCCTTGGGTGGCAACTCCAAGGCCAGCAACAGCCCTGGCTGGCCTCTTTAGTGTTTCATCCATTCCTAGTGGGCTCGGCACACACAGGAGGGGCAGTGCTAGCTGCAGGGCGGCTCCATCACCAAGGATAAGTTGCTAGCAACTCTGGGCCCCACCTTTCACTTGTATGGATGGGGGCAGGTGGACCAGACCCTTTTCCCCTTCCCAGATGGTATGACAGGGATGGGAGGGAAGGCCAGCTGACCAAGGAGGCATGGCCTACAGACTACACCATGAAGAAATCATGTTTCTGACTGAGATGCAGAACCACATATTATAAACATAAGATACAGATAAGCACTGATTAAAAAAAAAATGAGCTAAGTTAATGTTAAAAAAAAATCCAAAAAACAAACCAACAATAACAACAAAAAACAATACAGCACAGGAGAGGCCCACGTCACAGAACACACCACAAACATAACATACAAGAATTGCCAGGCCCAGAGGTGAAGGGATCCTTAATTTCTTGAACCCTTTGATTAAAAGAAGTTACTGATTTCCCCTCTAAGACCCTGAAAATTCACAGAGAAAGAAAGTGTAAACTTTTCACTCAATACACACCAAGTCTAAAATAGCACATATTCTGCATCAAGGCAATTTGATTACGCTTTCCCCAAACATCCCAAAACCAAGGACACAGATTCTGTCTGACCGGGGTCGCGCCATGCTCACCCGCACAGGTGCACCCAGGCTGCAGGGATCTACACGATGGCAGGCCCCCCTCTCCTCACAGAGATTCGAGGCGCCATACCAGTCAGGGTGGAAGGGTGTGCACAGGTGGTGGAGCCTCGCCTCCGCCAGTCCCTCTGGAGGCTCACAGAAGACAGACACAGCCCGTCACACGGAAGGGCAGGAACGGGGCCCTGCTGCACCCACTCACCGGTCGTAGACAGGGATCTCCAGGCCCAGTTCATCCATGAGGAGCTGCATGACCTCATCGCATTTCCCATGAAGCTTCAAAGCAGCCCAGTCGTCCTTCGGGGTCCACTGAAGACGAGAAAGGCAGACAAGAGTGACCTCCCATCCTCTGCTTCCCCTGCAGGCTGCAGCCCTCTCCAGGAACACACCCTGCACAAGGCTCCCAGGACACACTGATGTGGCACATCTCCCTGGCCCTTCTGAGCTAAGACTCGGGTATGAAGACGCGCTAAGCACCCATGTTACCTGCAAGTTCACAATGTAGAGTTTGGGCCGCCGGCTAGGAGGCTTTGTCATGCACCAGAGGCGGGGATACTTCTTGAGTACCTGCCGGGATGGACAGATGTAACGCAGTAAGAGATGATGATTAAGACGGCGAACCTAAAGCTCGCTAAATAGTGCTGGGCAGGCAGGCCCGGAACACGCTCAACCTGCGAAGAGTTCACGGTACTGCCAGCACGCACCTTCAAGCTGGACCCTAAACACAGGATCGTGTCTGCTTTGCTGGCAGCCTCGGTCGCTGCCTCCCAGTTCAGAGGCTGCCCCAATGTCCCCCTCTCCCCAAAGTGCACAATGGTGTCCCGGAGCTGAGTCCCACACTTATGGCAGGACCGGCCAGTCTGGTGTCGGTGAAGGGCGGTTCTCTCTGTCACATCGAACACTCGTACATACTCCCTGTTAGGGATGCAGGAGGTGCAGACCTGGGGACGAGAGGGCACGGTAAGTGAGATCTGTCCGTCACCCAGGCCCTGTGCCCCTCTGGTACTGCTCACTTCAATATACATATTCCCGTGGAGCTCGGAGATGGCAGTGCGTGGCAGCCCGCTGCGCAGGTGGAGTCCATCACAGTTCTGAGACACCACGTGCTGCACCTGGGAAGCAGAACATGGAGGTAGTCAGGAGGGGATGGAGGAGGCACCCCGCAGCAGGGAGATTATCCTGAGTCCAGTCAGGAGCGGATGGAGGAAGCACCCCGCAGCAGGGAGATTATCCTGAGCCCAGTCAGGAGGGGATGGAGGAGGCACCCCGCAGCAGGGAGATTATCCTGAGCCCAGTCTGGCCAAGGGAAGGAGCCACATGCTCCCTGACTAGCTCTGATACACTGGGAGCATCCAGGAGAGCAAGCGTCTGTACTACTCCTTCAAGTTGGGGAGCAGCTTGGGGCATTGGACCAATACCCTCTCGGGTCATTCTCTTTCAGGTCCCCCAAGAGCCCAGGCAGATTCCTTCCTCTACTTGCTCAGCAGCTCTCTGGAGGTTTCTGACAAACCTCCCCGGTAGCCACGATGTTGTCTAAAGCGCCACTCACCCCAACCCAACCGAGACTGAATGGGAACCTGGGGACTAACAGTTCGGGACAGGGGTCAAACAGGAGCCTGAGCTGCTTGGGACCGTTTTTCACGGGGTCGACTGGGAGGTGACACAGCAGCTTCCCTCGGGCTCTTACCAGCTTCTGCTCGTGCAAACGGGTGATACACATGTGTGTGAGAGTGGGCTCCGCGTCACTCAGGTCGGTGGCACTGTGGGGTACAGGAGAACAGAGGTGAGAGCTGCATCAGGCAGGTCCGAGTGCTCTCTAGGCAGGCGAAAAAGCTGGAAGATGCTCACCTTACACGCCTTCCTTTCTGAATCAGTGTCCACACTCCATTAGGGCCCCGATAGTCTGGGATAGAAGCTGCCTGCACAGTTGGACCAAAAGATAAGTCTACTGAGAGGGAGTCACCCCAGGCACCACAGAACGCCCATGTAGGGCAGGCTGTACTCCAGGTTTGTCAACAGACCAGTATCCGCTCCATCCACTGCTGACCTGTCTGGCCAGTTCACCCTTCCAGACTCCTCAGAATCCTGCCCTACCTCAGGGTCCTTCCTGGTAGTGTCCACATCTACCTCAAACATTGAAGGGCTCACGGGTGTCCAAAGGAACAGGACTTAGTGTTCAAGTCATGTTCAGCAAAGAGTAAGCCCCGGGAGGAAGCACACCTCTGTCCAAATACTTATATCCTGGAGTTCTGAGTAGCTTTAACTCCGAGTTTATAGACAAAACCTCCTGGATGAGATAAATGTCAGCTAATTTTCTATGAAAAACAGAAAGCATTTAGGATCTAAGAGTCTTTGGATCCTGGCTCGCGCAGCCCTGTGTCCTCACTGCTGCCTATGCTCTGACCAGAAATCCCAATACAAGAAGGACGAGAACATTTTCAAGCTGCACACAGTATTTAGTTATGGCCAGGTTGGAGGAGGCGATGATCGATATCACTGCTATAAAGTCGTAACTGGGTGGATCAGTGCAGGGCTGAGAGTCCCAGACGTCCGAGTAAGAGCAGCAAATGCTCCTTACATTGCTACCGGGCCACTGCTGTCTGCTCCCCAATGCCACGATTCCCTGCAGAGTGCTAGTGCCATGCCAACAGCAAGGCTGCCCAAGGGCTCCCCGGCCTTGAGGTTCGAGTGTTTGACACTGTGCTAGTCTGTTTATGACTGTGGCTGTTATTTTCTAACAAAGGCCTTCTTTACCGTATGTTTCTATATGTATTTACATCTGTGCACACATGTGCAGACATGCACATGTATGTGTGCCTGTGTACGTGACTCTCAATCGACCTCCACCTTATTCGTTCTGAACCCATTTGTTGAGGGGGGCACGCTAGCGCCACAACACATAAGTGGAAGTCAGACGACAGCCTGTAGCGGTCAGTTCTCTCCTCTACCACACGGGTTCTGAGGGCCAAGCTCAAGCACTGAGCCATCTCACTACCCTTCACGCTCCACGACAAGGTCTCTCACTGAACCCGGAGCTCATGGATTTGGCTGGGCTGGCTAGCCAGAAGGCTTCGGGAATCTTCTTGGGTTGTCCTTCCAGGGCTGTGATTAGAGGAGGGTGCCACTGCTCAGCCTTTTCAAACCCAGGTCTTCGAGCTCACACGGCAAGTGCTCCACGGAGGTGGAGGTTTCTCTCCAGACCTCCTCGGGGATGCTTGAGAACAGAAATCACCTTGGCTGACCCTACTTATGCCAGACAGGCCACACTCACCCTTGATCATATAAATATGTCAGTTCCGAGCCAAGAGTAGGGCATTTCTCGTCTGTACCCATTGTACTGTGAATCTTTCCTTCTTCTTTTTTGTTTGTTTGTTTGTTTTGAGACAGGGTTTTGCTTCAAGCTGTGAGCCAGGCTAGCCTCAAGCTTTTGGTTTTGCTCTTCCTCTTCTCCCAGGCTCCACCTCCTGAGTCCCGAGGTTAGAGGTCTGGGATATAACACTGGTTTTCTATTGTCTTTCTTAAGGAGTAGGAGACCAGGAGAAAGTCTAGGGCTCCAGTCTGTCCACATCATGGGGGCCAATAGTCTGTCTCCTTCACTTTAATGGAGAAGACACCAGCAGGCAGTTGACTACTATGCCCTATTTAACTGGCTGTCAGAAGTCAAGTGTCCTCAAAGTCTTTCGCTTAGTTAAATTACTACTATTATTATTAATAATAATAACAATGCCATTTTTAAAACAAGGTATTATTATTATTATTATTTACCATTTTTAAAACAAAATCTCTGCATAGCCTTAGCTGTCCTGGAACTCCCTATGTAGACCACGTTGGCTTTGACCTTACAAAGATCCGCCTGCCTCCGGAGTGCTAGGGATTAAAGGAGTGTGCCACCACGCTCAGCTTGCCTTAGTTAAATCTTAAATCCAGAGTTGTTTTGGGTCCCTGAGAAAAGAGGACGCCTTGGAGCTGCTTCAGAGGTGACTGTCTCTGAACTTGGGTAGTTACCCAACTCCAGCACTGCGCAGTCCAAGTTTGTGTCCCAGAAGGGGGCGCCCTACACCTGACCCAGCCCGCAGGCCCGCGCCTACCGTGCTGATCCCGGCGCCTGTGTAGACCACCAAGTGTTTGGCATTCCGGACAGCTCCGGCCAGTTCCCGGACCTTCCTCCGCAGCTCCTCTGGGTCATCACAAACCTGCGGGGATCCGGGCTGGTCATACGGACCGCCGCCCGCCACCTGCAGCCCGCCTCCCGCAGCCTGCAGCCCGCGGACTCGCCTCCTCCTGACGCCGCTTGAGGCCCTCACGCCGCCGGCTCCGACCCTGCAGCTCGGTCACCAGATCCTCGCTCTCGGCCAGCAGCCGGCCCTCCTCCGCGCTGCGCTCTGCAGCCGCCTTCCTCAGGATGCGTGACACCTGCGGACGGGCGAGAGGTGAGCGATTGCACGCGCGGATCCGGCCGCGGACGCGACGGTAGCCTACCTGGCGGAGGCGCTCCCGCTGCTGCTCCTCCCGCAGCCTCCGGACACGCTCAGCTGCCTTGCGCTCCGAGCGGCTCAGACCGCCACCGGCTGCCATCGCTCCGTGGACTGCGCTTCCGGCTTCCGCCTCGCCCGGCAGCCGCAGAGACGCATGCGCGCGCCCGGTGCACCACGCCCCTTCCGACTCGCCCTTCCCACCCTAATTTTGCCCCCTCCCTTCTCTTTGCAAAGAAACACCAGCAGGTCTCTTTAAAAGGCGTTTATTGATCATATACAAAATAAAGAAAACCTTATATATCACAAACATACACTATGTACAGCAATAAATACCCGGGGGGCCAGGCCCAGCGCCGCCCCTCCTGGACAATAATTTAGCAATAAATACTGCGCAGGGCACGAGTGGGCACCAAGGCTGCAGTCTGCTGAGGCCAGACGGCTGATAGCCCTGCACTGGTGCGAACACCCAGGCCTCACCTCGCAGCCAGATCCCTGATGACCCTACCCAGGTGCAGGAGACTGGGTCTCACCTTGCAGCCACACCCCAGACCCCCCTCACTTAGATCTTAGGACTCCCACCCCATTTAGGGTACTCTCTGCTAACCTCCCCCTGGCTTCAGCCCTGCAGGGCAGGCAGGGGCTGATCAACTCTGCTTGGACACATCTCTCAGCACCAGGAGACCAACAGAGCTGGACACACAATAGCCCTTGTCCTGTTGCCCTAAGTTGCCAGGAGAAGACTTTCTGTACCCACTCCCATTTGGTTAAAGGCTTCAAGGACTAGCAGACAGAGAGGATGGGAGGAAAGATAGGACTGACTGGGGGCATAGAGTTGCTGGAGGGGCTGAAAACCCAACTGGGGTCGTAGAGAACAGGGAATTCTGTCAGGGACACTTCCTAGGACAGTCCACTTCAAACTTCCAGAGACACCCATGCTGTTAATGCTGCCACTCCAGGGACAGAATCGTGCGCAGCGGGCCCAGCAGGTGTAGCACACACCCAGGACACAGGCAGTCCACGAGCCGCTCTCACAGTTCCACACCTCTGCGTGGTACCGATTCTGTCCTCTTCTCCACAAGGGCTCCCAAACCAGGCAGCCAATGGGGACATGAAAACATGCCAAGAGGAATTATTCAGTGGCTTTTGGGGGGAAAAAAAATCGTTAATGTGTTGGTTCCTTTCACCAAACCACAGCCTAAAAAAGTAACTCAGAAGATCCCAGAGCGGAAACAGTGCAGCAGGCTGTGGCTCAGACATCCCAGCTGTGGATGGGAGCTTTGGCCAAGTGGCCACACCACAGAGGGAGGTAGCAGGGAAGTGGCCTCACCATCTCCAAGTGGGTTGTAGCTTATCAAAGCTGCACACCCTGGCACCGAACACCAAGGCTGCTGCTAGCACACACAGAGCACACACAGACCGAGATGGTGGACTGAGGAGAGCCTGCAGGAACGCCTGGTGAAGACAGCGAACCCAGAATAACTCAGGGTTGCCATGGAGGCCCTACGCTAACGGTACAAACACCCAGGTTAGCAGCCAGACACAGTGGAGGGGGAGGACTCTCCGGGACCATACTCTAGAGGAAAATGATCCACCCCATGTGGGTTTTCCTGTGAAATCTGAGTGTCCATGTCCAAGGAAGGAGGTCAGGCAGAGTCAAGGGAGGAGGGAAGTCGCACAAGAACGGTTTACTTAGCAGAGTAATCTGGGAGAGCCTCAGCCAAAGCTCTCCGTAGCTGTGTCAGAAAGTCAAACACAACACCCTCACAGTAGGAAAACAGGATAAACAATGATCAGAGAGACAGCCAGGAGTCACGCCTGGACACAGATCTACTGTCACGAAATCAAGAAGGGAAGAGAGGGGCTCAGCAGGGAATGTTCCCGACTTGGGGCGCAGAGGCTGCAGATCTGAAGGTCACGAGCACGGCCCTACCCAGTGCAGAAGCTACCATCTGCTGCTTCTGTTCAACACACGCACGGCCTCAGCCTCCTCTCCCCACATGCACGGCCACGCTCAGCCAGGACCAGAGAACTTGGAAAGCCCGCCCCTCTCCTCTGCTAGGCATGGGCATAATCCACCCAGCTCTGCTGCCACAGTCAGGATCAGCAACTCATCTGGGCACCAGTTAGAGAGCCCAAGGGAGGGGTGAGGTCACCTGGTGACGTATAACTGACAGTAGGGACTCCCACTCACATCTGACCCCGGCGTCAGCGGGAGTGTCCGAGCACCTTGAGCCAAAGAAGCCCACCACAACGCCAGGGCTGGCAGAGGTCCTGCTCCCAGAGCACTGCATGCTGGGTTAAACTGAGTGAAAATCCGCTGCCCACGAGGTAAAGGCCTATCAGGCCTGTGTTTCCTTTCACCAGCTCACACTTCTGTGCTTGTCAGGGATCCAGGCCCCCAGAGAAGACACCAGTAACGCCAGCAAGAGGACAAGGGCCATGCGACCAGGTGGGCATCCGCCTACGAGGAGCTTCCTGAGCCAAGCCTGGAAGGTGGGCAGCCTCCCCTGGATAGCTGGGGTAAGGAGGCAGGCTTGGACCCTGCAGAGAAGCACCTCCAAGCCGAACAGCGGATCCCTGGAAGACACAGATCCTGAAGGGAGGCATAAGAAGGGCCCAGAGCCAAGAGCTGCAGACAATGGGGAAGAGACAGACCCGGCTCTGAAGCCAAAGCCCTTGTCTGGCAATGGTGGAGGCCTCCAGGCTCTCACAGTGAGGCAGGGAAGAATAGGTGGCCCCCAAGCGGGGCCCCTGACCAATCTGCCCGGGAAACAACACCCCACAGAATGGGATTTTAGGGATAGGTGGGTGATAGGATTCCCAACCCACAAGGTAGGCCTCTGGGGTGGCCTAGCCAAGGCCCCAGTTGAAGCCTAGAGGAACAAAGCTGAGGCCAGGAGGAAGACAGCCAGGGACAGGTAGGACGCAGCCCCGTGGGCACCCACAGTGACTCCTTGGTCCCTGCAATGCCACCATCCAGGACCAGAGGTGGTGGATGTGGAAGCAGCATGGGGGCCCAACACGACTCCCAATTTCACTGACTCTGCCACTCCGCCAACCCAAGCCCTAGACCCACATGCGAAGCCAAGGCTCAGAGGGACCCCGTGGCAGGGGAACGGACAAGTGCAGAATGTGAGCCGGCAGGCAGTCTCCCATACTCCAGTGGAGTAAGCTCTGCCTGGGACCCCAGCCCAACCCAGGTCCAGCAAGCCAGCAGAAGCAAAACCACCACGCAAAACCACCACCACAACGACAAAAAAAAAAAAAAGAAAAAAGAACAAACAAAAAAACCCCGAACAAACACACACACACACACACGAAAAAAAGACCCACACACAGGGACAGCCACAGGTCAAAGGTCACCAGAAGCACCAGCACTCTACGGCTGCACAAAACCTCACCAGGCACGGACAACACCACGGCACCGGCAAGACGGAAGCAGGAAGGGCAAAGGAGTAAGTCACTTTCGGTACAATTGCAAAAGAGATATCAAAGAGGACGGCCTCTGGTCGGCTCGCAGCTTGGCTTATTTTTTTTTTCTTTTTTTAAACTAAGTTTTATAAGTAATGTCTCATAACTCTGTGTATAAAAACTAAACTCCAACAGCCACAGAGCTGTCCCCAAGTTTACAAGAAAGGGATTTTTTTTTTAACTAGCAAAGTTTCTACTATACTTTCTTCCCTTTTCCATTTATACGGTCAAATGTTTCTTTTTTTTTTTGTTTTTAAGACAATTTTATAAATACTCTGCAGCTCTTCTTTTTTTTTCTTTTTAGCTCTTAAACATATAATTTAATAACTTCGTAAAAGGAACTTCTCTTTTAAATAAAGGGCTATATAACCACACACAGGTCATGTAAACAGCGACACCGGACCCACCGCAGGACACACTGACACACCGGCCACCCACACTTATAACCGGCGATTTGGTCTTATCCAGTGCACTGTGCCAGGCTCCAGCACCATGGTTCCTGCCCCAGTGCCAGGGCTGGTGGCCCTACTCATCCAGGGCCTTCAAGACATAACCACTTTTCAGGACAGAGCCATCTCTCCCTTTCTGGATCAAGCTGAGAGGCCCACTGGAATCTGAAGAGAGAGCTCTAAAGTCCCCCTGCAGCCACCAGAGAGGAAGGGCAGACCTAAGCCAGTACACCGGCCCACTTGTACTCTTGTCCATTCCCACGGTGCCCACTCTGGACTCCTAGCCTGCATGGCCTTGGTACAAAGGGGTTAGGGGCAACCCAACATCACTGTTGAACTGACCAATCCCAACGTACAAAACACACGCGTGACGACAAGGATGATATCAAGGGGGCTCAGCCCAACGCCCCTGGGTGCAGGTTGTGCTTTGCAGGGAAGAAAAAGGGGAAGGGAGAGAAGAGACAGGAAAAGGAAAGGAAGAGGGACAGGGCTGCCAATTTTGCCACGCACTTAGTGGCCCCTTAAAGACCTGCCTGGCAACTGCACGTGTCCCTATGACCGCGCATCTGTCTTGGACTTTACTATCGTGATGACGCTGGTGGCAGCTACCTTGCCAGGGACCAAGGGCCCCAGGCCAGCAGCAAGCGGACCCCGAGCTGGGGCCACAGGGCTGCGGGCCACGGTCCTGGCAAAGTTCTGCAGGGCCTCGTACTTGGAGCGCAGCGCGTCAAGCTCCAGCTTCATGCTGGCGTTTTCAGAGGCCAGCTTCTCCACCTCCTGCTGCAGCTCCGCCTTCTGCTTCTCCAGCTCCTCCTTCTGCGTCACCCGCTTCACTCGGCAGCTAGCCGCGTAGCCGCGGTTCTTGAGTGTGCGCCGGCGCTGCTTCAGCTGGATGATCTCTTCCTTGGATAGGCCTCGCAGGTGCTGGTTTAACTCTCGCACCGACATGGTCACCAGCTCCTCGTCGGTCAGGCTGGTGCCATTCTCTCCTGGCTCCCGCTTCACCTGGAGCGGAACAGCACCCGGGGTCACAGCAGAGCAGGAAAGCTTGCTACCCCCCGCCACCCCCGAAACCCAGCGTCTCCACTCACCTTTAAGGCCTTGTTTCCTTTATTGGGGGTCGTCATAACCCGGGGGCACAATGAGCAGGCACTCTGTAAGACATGGAGCAGTGGTCAGGACCCTGTAGACTCCTTTCACACCCCAACA